CCTACAATTAGAAGAAGATTCCGTAATGAGGCTGAGAGGAAGTCTGGGTTGGATCAGATTAAAGGAGCTTTACAGTTAGGTATGTTTCTGTTTTTTCCTTATATGTTATTTATATTTATATATGTTATTTATTTGCACATTGTTTTATAGGACATGCAATAAGTGTGAAGACAACTACTGTGTTTCTTTTCTGTTTTACTGTATTCAGAGCTGGAAAATCTAAAGGAAAAAAAAATCACTTGCTGTTCAGTGCTTACAGTTTGGTTTGGGGGTCATGATTTTTCTTTAACACCTCTATTTAAATTGAACTATTTAAATAGGGGAAAATGGCTTTAAAAATAGTGGCAGAATCTGTTGTACTGTTGTGATGTGAGTACAGAAATACTTTGGAAAAATAGTTTGAGAACAAATTATCTACATGCGTTTTCTGTCTATGACTATATCAAGGCAAAACTTTGAAGGAACACTTTAATAAGGGAGGATTTGTAAATGAGTACAGTTCTGGCAAGATGACCTCTTAATGGGAAAGTCATAGTTAGAGCGAAGTAAGAATTCTGAGCCCTAATGAGAAGCATACAAGTGTCTCAGGAAAGCTCCGCTCCCTGTCTATCAGCCTCACTGAAAGAATATTTAAGTAATTAGGTAGTTCACCTGCTTATGATGTAAGAATGGAGAATAAGTACTTATTTCAAGTGGATGGGGAAAATAACTAGTAATCCCTTTTGTCTACCAGGAATGGTTGATATAGCACGACAAACTGTCGAATTTCTCTATGAGGAAAATGGTGGCATCCCAAGAGACCTCTACCTTCCTACCATCGAGGATATCAAAGATGAAGCAAACAAATTTACAATTGATAAAGTACGAAAAGGTGAGGTCAGCTGGAGGGGAAAATAAAAGCTAAGGGGTTCTGGTACTTGGTATCTACGGCATAAATTGTTAATCTGAGGAAAATGCTGTACCTTAAAAATTGTATTGTCCCTTTCTGACCAGGTCTCACAGTGGTGACTCGCTCTCCTGACAGTAACAACGTTACCAGCAGTGCTGTGGGAACAGCTTTACCCAAGTTTGCTATTCGTGGGATGCTGAAGACATTTGGTCTTCATGGTGTTGTTCTGGATGTTGATTCAGTGAGTAAAGATACATTGGGAGGGTTTTTGATGTGTCAGCATCACACCTCTGTGAGCAAATATGATTCAGTGTACTAAACTGCTTAGAATGCTGATTTGGTGCTCTTTTTGAAGGAAAAAAAAAAGTCATTACTGTGCTTATTGACTTTGTTGATTTTGGTGTTGTAGGTAAATGAATTGGTACAAGTAGAGACATATCTCAGGAGTGAAGGAGTTCTGGTAAGATACTGGTATCCTATTGACATGTTAGAAAGACCACCTGCTGGCTATAGGAGGACTGCAACAAATGGCTTGGTTACCCTGGATAATACCAACATCCAAATCCACAGGTAAAAATAAGAGATGGAGTTAGAAGGCATTTGTATGATCTGACTTCATCTCTAGCGTTTCCTATAATAAAACCTTGTTTTAAGCAGTAGTAAACTTCTGAATCTTACTGTAGTTGTTGGATTAAAGCAAAGATTCATTGACTTGTCATGTTTTAATGGGTACTGGAGTTTTGATTTTTATTGTAACAAAGGAAATTGGTTAGAATTGCCCTGTTGGAAGGATTTTACTCCTTGTAAAATCACACTCTGTGTGAAAATGGCTTTATGTGTGCTGGTCTAACAGGTACCTTCCTTAAAGCTTAGGTTTCTTGTACCATCAGTCAGTTGCTATCTAAAAGCTCAGAACTCTTGACTGATTTTGTGGAGAGTTGGCTTCTAATTCAGGTACCTTAATTTGGTACCAGAATTAGACGGGCTGAGTGCTATCTTAAGTGAATAAGAAAGATTTGGGTCTACCTGAACCTTTTAAATAAGACTAAATTAGGCCTATATGTTTGGATTTGGGGACAGGTTGCTGGATATGACTTATTTGAAGTGTGGTGAAGCAATCTGATGTTTTGATGTTTGTGTTTTCCAGAGAGCTTTTGCGAAGCGAAGCTGCTCTGGCCAAGCTCTACTGCCGCATGGCTCTCCTCAATATTTTTGCCCCCAAATCTCCACATATGTTTACTCGCCTGTTTCATATCCCTGCTATCCGTGATATCACTCTGGAGCACCTGCAGTTGCTATCCAACCAACTCCTTGCACCACCTCTTCCTGGTAAACACTGATTTTTATCACAGCTCTTTTTTGGTACAATAGTTTTCTGGGGACACAAAAATCTCGAGTTTGGCATTTATTGATTAATTAGTTAATAATGGTGGTATTTGAAAAGTTCTCTCAATGGACTCCTGACCTTAGAGATATAGGGTACTAAACATAAATTCTTGATAATGATCCAATTAAAAGTGTTCAAGAAGGTTGAGAGTCCCTCCTAAGATTCCATTCAGTGTGCTTCTGTCCCTCTGTCATCAGTGGTCTTCTCTTTGGGGGGTGGGGGTGGGAGTATGCATATGGGATACTTGCAAGAAATTGAGAATGTTTTATAGTTTGAATCCAGTGTAGTAAAACTAAATGCCAGTTGAGGGTCTCAGTTTTCAAAATTCAACTCTTCTTCATTTCACAAAATGGTTTGTCCTTTTCCTACTGGAATCACAGATCTGATTAGAGAATGTATGTGCTGAATCATGGAAAAGAATCTTTGGCTAATCCAAGTGAGTGTTAACAAAGACAATTATCGTGACAAAGCTGTTCTGCATGCAAAGAAATGTGTGTAACGTGGCTGGAGCATAAGGAGAAAGTAGGAAGTGCTAAATATAGGCTATTAATAATTGAAAGTAATTATTTACCTTTGGAACGAGTCCTGTTCCCTCCTCCAGTTATTTTGAAACTTGGCTACCTCTAACAGATGCCGCGTTGTAAAAAATCCTCTTGCAGAGTACAGCACTACTTTGCATGGCTTTGAGAAATAATTTTACAAGCTTTCATTTGATTTTTCCTCTTTAAAATATGTCTAATTCAAGACCTGCTAATACATACAGTTTCCAAACTGGTGTTTTGGTGAGTTGCCCTTTCCTTTGTGCACTTAACTTTGTCCTTCTTTGACTTATCCCATTAGCTCCGGAATGGCAGCCGTGAGATGTCATCAGGGCTCGTGACCCACTCGGGGCTGCCCAAAAACTTGTTCATACATGGGGGAAGCTTGAGAACAGATAAAGCTGCTTTCAGCTCATCTAGAATGAGTGGGGAAGAGAACACTTCTGGTTGCTTCTCCTCATTGTATTTCTGCAGTAAACTGAAATATGCCTGACTTCATACATGGGACAAAGTGAGGCAGCTGTGAGCACACAGCTCTGTGTATACCTGGCAGACCCTTAAGGGTTGGCTTAAGGCAGGTGAAGAATACAGCTGGCATTTAGAGGGCCATCCCATCTGCAACCAACTGTGTCAAGGATGCAGGTCTGATCTTGGGTGGATCCTTTCTACTGCTGACCTTTGGGAAGAGGTTTGCACTTGCTCAGGAGTGAAAATAGAGGCTTGTAATCTTCCAAGCGTTTTAAAACTTCTTTCCCCTGTCGTTTTGCAGGCTCCATAAACACATTGAAATGCTCTCCGAATTTGTCATATCTTACTTGTTATTACAGATGGAACAATCAGTTCAAGTTCTATTCTTTTGGCCCAATCCCTGCAACACTGCATCCATTCCCAGAACTGTGCTGCCACAGACCTCTTCTACCAGGGCAATTCACAAGCCATCAGAGAGTGGCTTACTGTTGCCATTACTCGAACACTGCATCAAGGAGAGGAAAGTCTGTTGGACCTCACTAAACAGATCTGCTCCTTTTTGCAGGTAAAATATTTAGTCATGTTTTATGAGCAGCTCTTGCTTTCTGTGTGATTCTAACTTCTGTAATACTGCTGAACTGTTTCTCTGGATGGGTTGTATTCCTGTTCTGATTATAATGGGCACGCTGAAGACAACAAGCAATAGCTGGATTGTATTAAAATTAAGTGGCCTTACACTGTGTCATTATTTACAGTGCTATATTTTATTTGAAAAAAGAAGAGGGAGGTTGTTTGCTGCTGCTGCCTGGGGGTGTTCATTATTAAATGTTATCTTACAGACGGCACCTGAACAGTTTCCTGCTGTTTTGAAGAATTCCCTATTTCAGAATCCAAAGTCAATATGGATGTTAATTTTCCTGGGGCTGCATTTGTAATTGTGTCCTGTAAGGAAAGTCAGTCTGGATTCCGCAAAGAGTAAGTAATTGAGGGGCCAAGAGTGGCAAAGATTAAAGATGTGCTGCTCTGTGAACCCCAAGTATGTAGTTGCTAATTTTTTAACATTTTTCTCTTCTTAGAGAGTCATTTTCTGGGTGGTGGGATAAATACTGCAGAGTGTTTCATCGGTCTGTGATTGGGTTGGGATTTTTAGTAGCTATTTACAGTCTAACCAAGCTGGTTTTGCTCTTTTCTTAGTTCATCCCTGTATAAAGCTCCTTGGGCTCGAGTGCTTGTCTACGGGCTTGGGCATAAAGTTAAAAGGAATGGTCAGTTAAACCTAATTGAAGCAGTGTGTTATCCTCGAGATGCCTCTCCAACCAACACAGGCCTAACTCCTCCTCCGACAACCAATCAGTACCCTTCAGTCATCACCCCTACGGACAAGGTCCACATCAAACTAGGTAAAAAAAACCAAATCCTTTTTAACTGTAGTCTCAGAAGTGAGACAAGCATCATCGTTGCCACTGTAGGAGCTTCCTATATTGTCACCAGTCCTACCATGGGTTATGACAGTATTTTTGTACAAATTATGTGTTCTAGCAGAAATACACAATCATTCTTAACTGAGAAAATATGGTTTTATAAATGTTGGAAGTAATCTGACTCTGGTTTTGTTAGTTCTGTTAAATCTGTCACAATCTACCTTTTTTTCTGATTTTTGTCTTCCAGGAGTTCACAAAGCAGTGTTTTTGAATGTTTCTGCAGTGTTCAGGCTGGTGCTGTTGCTGTTTGAGATGCTGTGTTTCAACTGGAGATTAATTTTTTATTTTCTTTTGTAGGTGATTGTAGGGCCCTTCAATACACAAAGTCATATATTTGCAGTATAGTAATACTATACTGCAATCAGTATAGTATTATATATAGTATATATAATTATATATATATA